CGGGACACGCCCACTGCGCTCAGCTAAACTGTATATGATGATGATGAGCGGCTCTCACAATTCTACACTTTTGCTGTACGAGTACTTTTCATCTTTGCGCCGTTTGCCGACCCTTTTGTGTTTGTTGATTGTTTCGATTTGCGAATTCGTAGGGGTGAGGTTGTAGAATGCTAATTTGAATTTCCGGCTCTCTGCAGAGGAAAACGTTAGAGAGAGAGAGCGAGAGAAAGGTTGAGTTTGTTAAAGAGCAACTGGGGTAGCGCGCAGTCTGCCACAATTTATTCCTCTAATCAAGAGGGGTGAACAGCGCTCTCAGTGCGTGAGCGCCCTACTTGCCCCTTTTCCGTTTCCTTTTGGGCTATGCTTATTTCCGTTATGTATACGAAATGATATCGGAACGTTAAATGTAAGGACATCTGCCTGAGTGTAGTGAAATTCAGATAAGAAAAAGAGTGGCATTTTAATTTCATTCATATTTAGTATTTATTTTACAATATTCTAAACACACACATGCATTCATAAACTGATAATCGGTACAAAATACTGTTTTCATGTTTGAAATTAACGTGAAGTAATCCTTGTAGGCGTAAAGTTTTAATAAATTACGACCACTTATATTTTCCTATATTTGTGCCTCAGTGATGGTAGCAGCATTGCGGTAATCGTCAATAGTTTTTAATTCATTGAAAATATTTCCTGTCAAAATGAGAGACAGAACCTTTTTTTATTTTGATTAAAATATTTTTTCTGCGCAGCATGATGCCTAAATCATGCCGTCAATGCTTAGAAGTGCCTCCGACATCGTTAAGTTCTGAAAAAAACGGACAAAACTCTACTATATAGATTTTTAATGGCGTTCTAGACTAATTAGGGATCGATAAATTTTTTCGTTTCACACTCATATTTTAATATTTCATATGTATATGAACAAATCTCACGATTTGTTAAATTTTTCGACAAAAACTTGTTTTTTTGGTAGAAAATGCATTATCTTCAGTTTTGTATAAAGAACAAGATTCCAACGCAAAATTGAACTTCAATGAACATTTGAAAAAGATATAGGTAAAAAAAAGTAAACATAACCACTCGTGCTCATATACTCGTAGTTGCGTTTGTAACGTATACGCCCCGTAGCACCATACGCAGTACTCGCACGCCTTAATTTAAAAGTCATATTATTTCAAAGTGATTAAATATTGGCGTTTAAGATTTCTACACAGCATTCCTTATGTACATATGTGTATATTACTTTCTTCATGTATATACTAATTTTGGAATGAATTCCGATGATGCCAATAAAACTTATAACAAGTAATTTTTAAACAAAAAAAAAACCCACTTCAATTCTAAATAAAAATTTAAGATCATCGAAAATTTCTTCCTGATCTAATGATCGCATTTAAACCAAATTAGTATGGGACCATCTGTGAGGTAACACCTTTCCTTAAAAAAAAAAATTATAGAAATCGGTTAACGTGATCCAAAGTTATGTGGTAGCATACGTAAAAAAATATATATTCCGACGAATTGATAACCTTCTCCTTTTTATGAAGTCGGTTAAACATGGAATTTTAGTTTCTCAAATCATAGCACCCTTGTAATTATTTTTCTTTTGGAACACACTAGTTCTATTACACTAGAATCGTCTTTTTGGCAAGAAGCACATTTTCACCTTTTAATTTTAACACTTTGAAGTATCTTAAATTATTACAAGTAATTTTTAAGCAAACAAAAAAAAATTCGACGAACTTATAGCCTCCTCCTTTTTTGGAAGTCGGTTAACAAGTAATTTTTAGCAAAAAAAACCGACTTAAAAAAAATATATATATATATTTCATGATACAATAATCGGATCTAAACCAGATTAGGGACCACCTCTGAGGCACTGTTGAGATATATTGTACTTGATGCCAACCTCCATTGCCTCTAATATGAACATTCTATTTGAAAATTTTTTTCGAGTGACAATAAACAAAATTTTAATTTCGGTACTTTTCGCCTAAATAAACGTTTTAAGTCTAAAATGGTTCAAATACTTGATTTTTTTTTTAATTGTACTTGTTTCTGGAACTCCACTGATTGCAATAAATGCAAGAAGAATGCTTAAGCGTTTTTTTCTGGCGAGAGGTGACACTAAAAAGAAACCAACTCATATGTGACTTGAGAAAAATTTAACTAAATTCGATTTGGAAACTCTTTAAAAAAAAATTAAATAAAAGCCTAATGCACATATGTATACAGGACATGTTCTTTAAATTGATACCTCATTACAGAAACTCGAACGGGCAGTGACATTCGGACTATTTTGGAACCTGTTCAGTACGATTTCAGAACCACGTCGGAGCATTTTCAGTACCATTTTTTTAATTTTCTTTAGTTCCTGGAAGTACGAGAAGGATTTTAGATAAATCCGGCTTTTTCAGGAAACGCTTGAAAGAACCACAGTTGGCTTATTCATCAGCCAGTTCGCTGAACCGAGTTCAATTGCTCGCTTGTGGGAAATCTAACATAAGGCATACTTCCTTCCGAAAGAGCCTCCAGGTATCAGTTTTCTAACCTTCTGAGACAATCTTTTAAATAACTATCTGTGCATGGCATGGCGATAGTGTATGGCAGTGGCGATAGAAAGAATGCACTCTACACATCATCTGCATCAATTCCAACTAAGCGTTATGATAGTTTTGGTTATGTTGATGTGGAAGTCAGTTCAAAAGACCAACTCTCTTAGACCTTGTAATACAGTTTACGCTTGCCTGGATATTGAAGGCGCCTTCAATAATGTCGGAGGCGATAAGCAAGATACTCTCTGAGCACGGCATTCAGCGTCCTATGGTGGCATGAATTGACTCGATGCTCAAGAGCGGAGTAATCATAGGGTTTAGCGTGATTCCCTGCCACAAGGCTTAGCACCACGTTGCCTACACTTAGCACGACGGATTAATTTTTGCCTTAATCACTGCCCTGAACTGCAAGCACTTCAGTACCAATTGGCAGTGTATGGTGGACACATTTACAACCACGGTAGGGCCGAGGCTTACCTAAAACCTCTGAAGTTCTCTGGATCACGACATCCGGTTGCAATGCAACTCCACATTGAACCATTGCTGGTTCTACCCGCATTTGGGTGGTAAACCACAGGCACCACGATACTCTCCAATACCCATGAACCGACCGGAGTAATACTCGTCGGCGAGAGTTGCTCGACCGGATCAACTCACCCTGACTTACTTAACTGACTCAACTCACATAGAACGACTTACACGACTACTTGACTCCACATTCATCTCCATTTCAACATGCACACTACATACCATCCTGCTCCGTCTTGCTAATCTCACACGTCTTACTCGCCTCACTCGTCACACTAGGCACCCTCCGCTTGTGGGAATCGAGAGGTTGTGTGGCTCACTCAACTTTCGTAAGGGATCGAATTGCTCAACTTGCACACTAACTTTTCCATCAATTTCCACGGTTAATTTTCACCATTTTTCTAGTCGTGTTTGTCTTGCCTGTCTGGCAAGCCTTGCTCGTGTGGCTTGGTTTGCTCGTCTCGCAGACGAACACACTCCGGGGGCATCTGTTCCCCGTGGCACCATTTTAAAGTCTTGGTTTGACTTTCGAAAGCCGTACACCCTTCTGCCAGTTGAGTCTCCACCGACTCAGGACTGGTAGCCTTTAAGTGGGGTAGACGGAGTTNGGTTTGACTTTCGAAAGCCGTACACCCTTCTGCCAGTTCAGTCTCCACCGACTCAGGACTGGTAGCCTTTAAGTGGGGTAGACGGAGTTGCCAAGCCCGTACTCTGGTAATACCAAAGCCCCCTGTCTCCCCTTTCTCAAATCGGGCTTGAGGCCGTCTAAGGCACAGTTGCCTCAAGGGGGCATACTATCCCCTGAACCTTGGATTTGTAAACACGTCTTCTCCGACCTAGAGAAAGCACGAATTCTGATAAATTGAATGAAAAAAACCGATGTGTATATCCGTATTTACTTGGCATACTAAAAATGTTTCACAATTTAATTCAATTTACTTACAAACGCTCCGGCATATCCTCAACTGGCCGCTTGTGCTGATCGCTTATCACCGGAATGCACAAACTATCTTTTGTGTAAATTTTAATAGTATCACACTTGACCTTTGTATGTGAATTGATTGATTCGCTGGCAGTCTGGTTGATTGTATTTCTCTCTCAAGCCCTTAGGTCCGAAGTGAACTATGAACATATATACATACGTACATAACGTTTCATTTTGCGCCACGTACTTATGGAATGAATGTGAAATGGAACTGTGCGAATTCATTGACATACAAACGCCGCTAGAGAGGGTAAGGATGTCGACTAAGAAGGAGAGGCAAGGAAATGAAGTCTTACTTATAGAAAATTGTAAGGAAAAGCAGACAATTTGATATTTTCAGTAACAACAATTAAATGTTAAAAAGTGTTGATGTGGTTGCAGAGCAATTGCTGTAGCAACAAAAAATAAATAAAAAAAGGATGAAAACTAGACAAGGCCGCAAGCAACAGCAATGGCAGAGCAGCAGCAACAGGAGAGAGGATATGCGTGCAGGAGTCACTGAAATTTGAAGGTTGGAAATAAAACACAGCAAACCAACCAACCAACCAACCAACCCCTCGGAAGACAGTGCGCCGAGTTGAGCACTATATACCGCGCTCTTTCTGGCGCATTTAGTGAGTGCAGCGTTGCAGAGCAACGTTGTGGAAGGAGGCGCGCGACTCAGCAACGGTATTCAGCCGCCCCACAAATAATTTGCGATTTCCAAACAACCCTCTTAGCACAGTGCGGCATGTCAAGGGTTCTGTTAGGTAGAACAATTTTAGATGCCATACATGGATACGTGTGTTTGTGTGCAAGCATGTATGTATGTATGTGTATGGTGTGTAAGTGCGAGTATGTGCTGCAAAACTGTGGAAAACCATTTTAGCGCAAATACCAAAAGAATTCCGACCAACCACCTTAGTTTTAGTTGAGCAGCGTGACGACAAAGTATACTTACAGTCAGGTTCGCAGAGCAAAGCAATTCAAGCGACCGGGGGTTAAATCGTGGAAAACAATAAAACTAAACGATCGCCTATGAAGAAACAAATCAACCAACAGACGGACAGACATACAGTCATAGAGACAATAGCACCGTAGACAAGCGGGCGGCGGTCGAATGCGTTCAGTGAAACAGAACACTTTTTCCGAGTTACATACGTCGAGGACGACGAAGTTTTGAATTCAAAATTTCAATTTAAATGCGAAGCGTTGATGAAGCGGTTAAGACGTCCTACGGAATTATTGCGGGTGTACAATTACGCGCGTTCAAATAATTGTGCTAAATTGAAAGCCGCAGTGAACTAGAAAAGTGTATCCTTTGTGTGGCGCTTTTCGAACTAAATGTCTGTAAGTCAAAAGTGACAGGCTATTTAAAATACAAATTCTAATTGACAAAAAACGCAAATCAAGCGAACGCAATGCAACTCGCTTATCAGTCGCCACATCACACTTAACGGTTTATAAAGTGCTTGTGTCACAAAGTAAAACTAAATAAAAACAAAACCTCGATTTATGTTTTCGAGTAAACTTTCATAGAAAGAAGTGAATAGTAAAACAAAAATAATTTGCGTAAAACGCGCAAACCAGTGTTGCCGCAGTCCACTCGTCGCAAATAGCGTATCTAAAGCTTATCACACACACATTCACCAAACCAATGTCTTCCTCTGAGGCTGAAGTCGACATCAGCGTTGTGTCCAGTCCCGAGCCCAGTCCGGCCGGCTGTGCAAATGGCTGCGACACACCTTTGCGCTCCGCATCGCCGGCCCCCTCCAATGGCAGCACCCCAACCACCACATCAACGCCAACCACAGCCGCCGGCACACCCACATCTAGCTCGCACTTCCACAGCCCGACCACCACAGCGCTGGCCGCTGTACCGCCGACGGTGTTGCACCATCACCTGCAACATCACTTAAGCAGTTTGAGCGGTCATCCGGTAGCGCTGCATCACGCCCTCCACAGTTTCGGTCATCATTTGCATCCAGCGCATCCCGCCTACCCAGCGCACCAGCAATTGCTACAGCATGCCGCCGTCGTAACACCGACGGCTGGCCAATTGGTTATGGCATCGGCGGCGGCAGTGGCCGCAGCGGATCGTCTTAGTCCGCCGGCAATGGCTGCTTTGGCGCCACATTCGCCCGAACGTAATGGTGGCGATGAAGTGACCTCGCTGACGGGCAGCAATAGCAATAACAATAATAATAATAATAGCAAACTTTTCAATCACAACAATAATAACAACAACAATAGTGATAGTAATGGCAGCAGTCAGAATATGGCGTTGGGGCGGGGCGAGGCGAGCAACGGTTGTGGCGCGTCAGCCGGAAATGGCAAAGCGACAACTGGCAATGGTTTTACAAGTTTCTCTATATCGAGTATACTCAGTCGCAATGAACCGGCGAAAAAGAATGGCGGCAGCCATAATGGGCCAACGTTAATAACGCCGATACCACAGCTGCCACAACCGGGCGCTGGCGGTCCACAGGATGCGGCAATGCTTTCGAGGTATGTATGTATGTACGTAAGCGGGGAATATGTGAATGCAAATAGCTATTCGTTGCTTAAAAGCACATACTGTGTGTTAGGTAAAGTGTGTATGTACATATGAATGTATGTATACATATATACAGAACGTAAAAGAGAAATGTTTGATTAAGTTGTCCGTGAATCAAAGTGGTCTCAGAAGAAATTTTTATCGAACTTAAACGGTGTTCACATGGGGAGATTTTACAGGCAATTTTGGAGTTGACTGCACCCCAACTTCATTGGAAGCGATTAGTTGAAAGGCCGTTCAAAAGTTGCCTGTAAAATCGCCTCATCTAAACACCGTATTAAATTCATTTGAAGGCGCTAGCCATAAAATGGCAGAAGAAGCTAAAAACGTATTCTCACAAGTAGAATCCAGTGAATAATTGGTATTAAAGCACAACTTGGTTGGCTCGCGATAATAACCCAGTGGGAAAAGTAGTAATGTATTATATGCGTGATAAATAATTTCTTGAGTTCTAGATTCTATTACTGTTCCCAAAAATTTCATACTAAATCACATTAATTTTTCGATACAAAGTAATGCAAAATTTAATGCCCCACTTATCGAATGACATCGCTTTGGGGGAACAAATGCATTTTCAAATGTGAAAAAAATTACTGATAATTTTTTCGACTACTGTACATTACATTTTCCCACTGGGAACTTACTTCGACAGAATTTTACTGTCATACGTATCAATATATATTTATTATTATATTTCAAATGATGATTATTTCTGTGCTCGTATGGAATAGTAGCTTATATCGAAAGACTGGCTTTAGTTTAATGCTGCATTCGCAGCATACGATTGCGAATGACTCAATGGCGCCGAGCCGTTGAAGAACTTTTGGCAAATAAACGTGCAGAAAATAGGTCCGATAGTAGCAAGTCTATATTAGTATTAGGGCTCATCTAAAAATTCCTTGTCATTTAAAGAATAAAGGGAATGCCGCATTACACTAAAGTCAGCTTCCCGACCAGTGTTGCCGTTTTGATCCACGTACTTCAAAAGTGATACGTGTTTGTGAATATTTTCGGAATATGCTTTATTTCTTTGCTCATTTCACGAGATACTTAAATTTTTCGCGTAGTACAAATTTTAATATTTACATGTTAAATTGAAAATATTTATGTATGTATGCAGTGGCAGCTTTTAAAATTTGATCGAAGATATTGAAGCGTTTTGGGGTCAAATAAGCTTAAGGAAAAATGCTTTAAATGAACTATGTATAAAGAGCTGACTTCATTAATTTTTAATTTACTTTACTTGCCTCATAAATAGCTCTGCAGCTGTAGAGCGTATATTTTCAGATTTATAATTTATCCAATATGAAAAGAGAAATACAATTTCATAACAATCTGTTGAAAATATGATGGGGCGTATTCATAGTAAAAGTAAAGTCGAGCTTTTTGACATAATTTCCAACGAGTTTAACGTAGAATGTATTACATAATTTGAAAATTATATGTAGATATGTATTTGGACTCAAGTTTCTATAAAATCTATACATAATATTTTTGTTCCTCTCTATACAAGATTAAAAACAATAATCTCTTTTTTAATAGATTGTCACAATATGTAAAATATTTTTCTTCATGTACATACATATTCAGGTGTATGAATGCGAATTACATAATTTTTGGGTTACTGACAATTAAAAAAAACGCAAAGGTATGTACCCAAATAGCCTTTTCTTAAGTTTTTTCTAACTTGATAGTTTGATACTTAAATACAAATTTTGTTATACATTTGATCCATCCTTTGTTTCTTTTACGACACATTTTTTCATGACGTCGCGGCAACACTGTTCCCGACGTAAGCTACTATTCCATACGAACAAAGATTTTTATCATATTAAACCATATTTAATTTAACCAATTTTAATTTAAAGCGTGGTTAGGGCAGCATCTTTTATGACGTCAAAATTGTCGTGAAGTAGGTAGGTTAGATGACCAGAAAATCACGTTCATCACTCCCGTTCATAAAAGTGGCAGTAGAACACAGATTTCCAACTACCTCTCAATCTAGAAACATCCACAAAAATTTCAAAGCTTTTTGAAAAAATCTTTATGGCAAAATTATCTTTTGCTATCAATCATTTTATTTGTTCTGATCAGCATAGCTCCATTCCTGCACTAATTATGCCATGAATGGGCCTATCACACGGCCGGCCTCTCATTGAATTTAATAACTCGGATAAGCAAAACTGTATTGATTTTTCTTTTAGTCGATCTTCTTTCAGGAATATATTAATATCTCACATTGGATAATGTATTGCTTTTTTCGTACTTACTCATAAGATTTTGCATTGTGTATTATTCTGAGGCAATAGATTGGAATTGAAATTGAAACTGTAAGCAGTGTTGCCGTGGCCTTACGCCATAAAGTATCCGCAAAAGTTTGATAAATATATTCAAACGTATCCCCCAACAAAGCATATCGTCACTAGACACGATTAAAGACGCGTGAAAAAAAAATTACGAACTACATAAACAAAATTTCCCAAGAAAAGACACAAACATTAATATATAAGAACACTAATACTAATAAAGTAGTATGTAAATAATTAAAGAGAAAAGTGGAGGCGGATAATGCAAGAGAATAAGTGGACAAAGAAAAGAAAAATATTATTTGTTGTCAGAGGGCAAAAGATATGTATAATTTTGATATGTATAATTTTTGTAAAAATTTAGTTTACGATAAAATTTACGAAAATATTCCCTACTGGGTTTCTCATTTCTGTTGTTGGTCTTTTCCAACAGGGTAGGAATATGAGGTATTGTTAAATTTATTTTGAAGATAAACCGGTTCCGAACGAAAAATTACACTGGAGATCAAACCAAATTTGACAGGGATGATGCAAAATCGTTCTAAAAAATACTTCAGTTGTAATTTGAATTATGCATTAGAGAATTTGTGATTTTTAAAATGGCTGCGGTGCCGAGCGAAGGGGAAACATTCGGGAAAATAATATAAGCTTGAAAAACCATACAAATTTTGCTCGCCTATGGAGATTTAGAATGAAGAATTTACAGTAACAAAAAATAAGTTTTAATAAAGCAAGGAAGAAAATCCCGTTCATTCTAAGTATACCTATCCATAGTATTGCGAAATTATTTATACCGAAAAACTTATCTGAAAATGTATTCAAATTTACACTAAAGAAAAAAATAAAATTTTTTTTTATTTTTTATTTTTGGGATTGACCCGTGCTAAGCAACACTTTCGATAGACCCAGATTTATATAAAGCCAAGGACTGGCACTCCAGCAACACTCACCAAATACTCTTTGGGGAACTTGTATGGTGTTGCAACATTTTGCTTATTATGTTCAAAGCATGGTTGTTGCGAATATTCGCATTCGCAACCGCGGAGCTTCCGCATTAATTTTAACATTCGCATTCGCAATGATCAATGCGGAGCTTTTGCGAATGCGAATATTTTGCAAGTGGACCGATAAAACGTATACATATAAGGCAAAAAAATGACAAATTGTAGCCAATATTTTTGCCTATGGTCGTAGGAGTATTTGTGTAACAAAACTGGTCAAATGTCATATTTCTCAACTTTGATAAAAATGTCTTTAAAATATTATTCCTTAAGCTATATAACCGAGCTCTCAATGGGCAGCCATAAAAGTTCCCACTTTTACTTGACCTTTGACGTACGTCAAAGAGAACATAGCCCTTTTAATAATATTTTTTTTTCTGTGCTTTAAATACCTGCTTTGGTTTTTTTCTTTGTTATGATTTTTTTGGATCAATCTTAATAAAAAACTAGTAGGCACAAAAACAGAAAGTGTGCACTGTAATTCTTAATAAAATTTTCGTGATTTGCTTTCGATGTTATAGGCGGCATACACGGTGCGTCTGACTCGTGAATCGGTTTGGATGTGTTTGTGAAAATAAATATGTGTTAGTTGCACCAACATGACTCCCGGCATGACTCTGAATGATTCAACTGTTTGTAGTCGAAGGCGAGTCAACACGTACACAAATGAGTCGCGAGTCAGACGTACCGTGTATGATACCTATTACATATATTCGTTTGAATAATTTCAAATGGAGCTCTTTGGCGAATTTATTTTTAGTAAAAATTTTAAACAGTAGTTTTGCTTACTTGTTGGGTAATATTTTTTTCATAGGGATATACCTTGTATCCTTGGCTAAAAGTTTCTGCGGTAAAACTTTCCCTACTCTGCTATTTAAATTCAATGAGTAAGCTCCTTCAATAGTGATTTCCAGTAGAAATGATCAACGTTTAGCTATAAAGAGAATCGATGCTCAAATAATTAAAAAGCTATAGGTCTGACCTTTAATTAGATAAGAATTACGAAACTATTTGTTAGGGGGTGCTTAAAAAAAATAAAAATATTCTGATCCGATTCGGCTGGCAGCCACGACTTTGAAAACAGAATTTTGTTCAAAAATTATAATCTATTTTCTATGAATTACAAAAAAGTGCCCTAAAGTTACAGGTTCTCCAAATTCTGGAACAACATGACATAGGTATCTGGTTTGGCTTGTAAGATTCCAATTGTTTTCTAAAAATACTTGACGTCCGCATTCGCATCCGCATCCGCGGATGTCTAAAATTCCACATCCGCAACATCCCTAGTTCAAAGTATGGTTTTCGGATTATGTTTTTTTTTGGGGAAATCACTACATCAAAATTGTTTACTTGAATCAATAAGCTAAATTTTTTCATGTTTTTCAGATGATACCAGATAGGTGGCCACAGTTAATGCAAATTCCGGCCTTTTTATGGCATTTTGCATCACCCCAATCCACGATTTCCGATGTTAGATTGTCGATTTTTGGCGAATATTATTCTTACGAGGTTTACATGGTTACGCGGCTTTTACACGTTTTTATGAATTGCCCAAATATATTTCAGTATCTACATAAATAGACGTGCAAGGGCCGTTAACTCAATGTTCGGTTGTTGGAATTGATAGTTTTGTTTTCACCAAGCTCTGATTAGTAGACGTCGGATAAGTTTGATCATTGGGATTATTTAATAATATTTTATCCGAAATATTTCTGTGTGTGTAGATGATTAAGGTGGTATACAAAGAAGTTAAGCCGGAATTTTAATGTTATCATTCCCTATGATTGTATTGCACCGAAAAAAAATTATACCCCTGTTTTTTATCTTGAAATCAGAAAATATTTAGAGGTCGCTCAACCAATTTGTCGTAAAAATAGTATAGAATTCTTGAAAATCAATCTTTTTCGATCGTATCAACCTAGTTCCCCTCAGGAGACTTTCAACAACAATACTCAATTGTTTATTTGACTAGTTTTTAATATTAACTATTTTTTATTGAACCGCCAAAGACCCTAAAACTCCATAAAAATCGGTAGCTTTAAAAAATGGTGAAATAAATAATTGGGTATTATTATCGGAAGTCTCCTGAAGGGAAACAGAAGTTCTGTCGCTTTTGTTATCGATATTTTTATCGATTTTGCTACCGATATTTTTATCGTATTTGTTATCGACTTTGTAATCGATTTTTTGATAGATTTTGTAATCGATTTTGTTGTCGATATTTTTATCAATTTTGTTATCGATATTTTTATCGATTCTATTATCTATTTTGTTATCGATATTACAATCGATTTTCATATCGATATTTTCATAGATTTTTTAATGGATTTTTTTATCGATTTCGCTATCGATATATTGTCGCTTTTGCTATCGATATTTTTTCAGTGTGTGCTTTCGTTTTTGACTTGGATATGCTCTTAACCATACCACGTATTCTACGTTTAAATTTAGCGGCTGTATCTCTGATACAGCCTGCAGATCAAGACGAAGGCGCTGGACTGTTCCTTTTTTTAATTATCGAAACTTGTTCCCTAAATCGAAATTTACTCATAGAATCGTTTTTATTTTTCAATTTGAAACTACGTACCGACTGAGTAAATTAGCGGGTCACAAGTTAAAGTGCGCATGAAAACTTAAAGAAGGTCTCATTAAACGTATTAAATTACCAAAAATGCACAGAACATCTGATCAATATTTAATGAACGTAACAAATTATTTATATGCACAAGGTTAAATACCCTTAAGCTGTTCGATATAAGTATGTACGTATGTAGACTTGTGGTCAGCTAATTAAGTCAAGTGACAGTTTGACTAGTTTTGACTATTTTTCCTTTGTTTATTTAATGTTTCTATTTTTTGTTTATAAAAGTCTGGCACTTAACCTAACCAGCGCCACTTAAATTCATATTTCACACTTCATACAAAAATTATGAGAACTCAACAAATTGTAACATTTACATCCAAAAATTTTAAACTTTTTTTTTAAATTTGTATAAAAATTTTGTATATCAGGTTTGTCGGTTAAAGTGCAGATTTTAAGACGCTAGAAAATTGCGTTGATTTTTAATATTTTTTTTTTTTTGGCTGATGGTGCTAGGCTCCGATACAAACAAAATTGTCGAGTATATTTTAAATATGTAAAAAACAACAACACCGTTAGCTAAAAAAATTATGTAAAATCAATGGTATTTTCTAGCGTCTTGAAATTTGCACTTTAACCTACAAAACTGCAAGTCCAGAATTTTCCTAAAAACTCTGAATAAAAAGTTTAAAATTTTCGGGTGCAAATGTTAGTGTTTGTTAAATTTTCATAATTTTTGTACGAAGTCTGAAATGTGCATTTATGCGGCGCTGGTTAGGTAAGGTGCCAGATTTTTATAAAAAACAATATAAACATTAAATAAGCGAAGGAGAAAAAGCCAGAACTAGTCAAAATGTTACTTGAATTAATCAGCTGACCACAAGTGTATTAATATATGTAGGCCAGCAACAAAAGAAAAAAAAAATTACACACCTATTAAGAGCCAACAACTGCCAGTTGAGTTCATTAATAAATTCCATATACCCATACGAAAGTCAGCGGAAGAGGGGTTAAAATAAAACATTTCGTAATCAAAGATCAAATTACGTCAAGCGATTAACGAATGTGTTGAATTAAAAAAATGTTGCACTTGAATTATCTGCCCTACTCTACAAGAAAAAGAAGAAATAGAAACATTTACATATACATTTTGATACACTCGTCTACTTGTATGAAAGGGCACTAAGTTGTATGCTGATCCTTTGGTAAACCAGACATACACTCCAGCACGCATTCAAATGCAATAACAACAATGTGATTTCGATAAGAAAAAGGGCAAAAAAGGGCGAATTGCCCTGAATGTCTGTCTACCGGTCACCAGGCACCGGCCATTCACAACTGGCATTTTGACATTTGAGGCTTTAATAATGATCATTTTCATTTCATTAAAAGTGTGTGCGCGCGCGCTCCCCTTCAACACTGACTGCCTACAAGTAAAATTTACGAGTATGTAGGTACTTGCAATGATGTCTGCGCTGTGAGCTAACTCGTGGGTAGATAAGGATCAGCGGCGGCCGCGGCGATGGCAGGCAGGCAGGCAAACGCGGTGCGCCAGTGACTTTGCCGCGAATGCGCGCACGCGCCAACGGGTGGGTGCTTGCAGCGCCTTAATGGTTGTGTGTTTTTCGGTTCTGTTTCGTTGTTACTTTTTTAGCGGGCGTTTTGCGGCCAAGTAGTTGTGAAAAAGCGTAGTGCCAATTAGAGCTGGAGGGCACCACCACTGCGCTAGGTGTAAACGTGGCACATTCCCCTACTTTTTTTCTTTCTTTCTTTTTTTTTAAGGCGGTTTGCCACGTGTGACCGTATTGCGCATGCGTGACTCGTTTGGCGCTTCAGTTGACGTGTGGCTGCGCAGTGAAGGTTTTATCATTTTATCATCTCGAAATTGTTTTTTGTTTTGTTTGTTTTTTAGTTTTTGGCGTGCAATGAATGATGTGCTTGTTGGCTCTTTCTCCTTAATTTTTTTTTTTGTTTTTTGTATTTCAGCTTTCGCAGATTGTAGTATTAAATGCTTTTTGTTTTACTTTGGGCGAAAATAAATTACCTTTGTTTGGTTTCGTGGTTATTTTATGTTGAAATATGATTAATTTAAGCGCAAATAAGTCGTTGAGTTAACGTTTAGTTAATTTATCAGCCATGCAATTTTTCTTAAATGGATTAATTAATGTGCGCAAAGGGAGCTTGTGTTGTTATGACAGCTTGCAAAATATTTTGATAAGCTGCAAAGTTGAAAAAGTGAGTGGTAATCTATATTTTAAGATGGATGAATTAAGAACGAAAAAACGATAGGGGTTTTTTTGTCGTAACAAAATATGCACACAATAAAACGCATTCGGAAAACAGCATTCACGTTGCATGCCGTCAATTGGACTGTCTCCATATTCTTTAAATCTACTTGATTTACGATGGAATTTCTCAACGCATCGCAGCCAATAACGTCAAACCTAGCCCTTCAAGGCAAAGAGGGCAAATAGGGTTGTCTTGTATGCCAATCACTGGCAGGTGATTTTGCAACGTAAAATATCCACTCAACAGTTCTCTCTAAGCCTCCCAACCATTGCTGAGCGAAATTTTCACCTAGTTTCTGATGGTGACTTCCATGGCCGAAGCTTGAAAGCAGTTACATATAGGGGTCCTCAAAATTTAAATTTTGTTTGTTTGAATTTTTGGAATAGTTTTAGGTATATTATTTTAGAGCCTAGTTAATTTTAGTATAAGAAAATGGCACAAGAAAATTTTGAAATGTTATAAAAAAATGTTCACCAAAATTAGATATTATTTAAAAATTTTTTAGAATAATTTCTTTTATTTAAAAAAGAAGTAATAAGTTTGGTGAGAAGTTTTTTTATAATATTTCAAATTTGTTTTCGAATTGGGGAAGCCCTATAATGGGTTTTGAGTGGTTTTTATTATCTAAAATTCAATAACAGGAAGCATGGAATCAAGTTTCTCCAAAACTGCTACTTTTCAGCACTTTCCTCTAAAAGGTTTTATGTATATAAACAAATAAAAGTTCAAAAAATGTGGCTGGAGAAATCTCTTCTAAAGCTCATCAGCTTTCATTTGAAACAAATGTAATCAAATTGGTAAAGAATTGGAGGCTCTACACTATGTTGAACTTCCTTTTTGATTTTAGACCACTGTGCGCCGATTTCTCAAGAAACCTGTACCGAATCGCGGCATTACTCATTTACAATTTAAATAAACGAAAGGACACTCGCTCTCGAATGCTGCGTTCTAAAAATCAAATTTTGATTCGAGTTATGTTCGATATCGAATGCCGCGATTCGGATTATTCCTTATGTAAAAACAATACCCAAAATAATAAACATGAAGTGTATTTAATAAAGCTATTTGAAGTAGTGGATTTGAATATTTGTCAACTTTAGGCAATTCAGAATTTGGCGCCCTTTTTCCGATAAGAAAAATATTTTGAGGTCAAAGTACCAGTTTTAGAACGATTAGCAGTAAATAGTAATATTCAAATTTATGTTATTTAAATACTATACTTTTATTACAATTTTAGGTGAAGAAGTGGTATTTGCCTTGAGTAAACATTTAAAAAAAGCCATCATCAACAAATTTTTTCACTTGATAAGTTATAATCTCAAAAATACTAATTTTTATTATTATTATATACTTATTATTATTATTTTTAAATATTATGACTTAAATAATATCAAAAATACCTAACAGTGTTATCCTATTTCCTGATTGCATGATATAATCTCAAATTTATGTCTTAAAATGTGCAGACAAAAATTCTACTTTCAGTGCAGCTAACTTGAAAAAAAAAAAAATAAAAATTTTCAACCCAAATTTTTGCATGTAACTGCATATTTTTTTCACGAGCACGAATAAGAAGTTTGAACAAAATGCGTTTGAAAAACTGATTGAATAAGTTTTTAGGAATACTCTTGCTAAGAAGATTTTGTAACATTCATCAAAGTGGGCAAGTGACCTGCTGCCACTCTATCGAAAGAACTGATTAGCTCAAACCAGCGAAAGTTGTCAAAGTATTCAATTGTTAACTTTATTATATATATTTTTTTTAATAAGTTTTCTAAAAATTAAATAAAATAAAAAAATATATTTTCCTTTTTAAAATATTAAAAACAAAAAAAAAGAAAATTAAATAAAAAAATTTTGCTAAAAAAGAAAAAATAAATATTTTTCTAAATGAAACTAAAAAAATATGCTTCCTTTTAAAGTAATAAAACCAAAAGTTTAAGGAAATTAGATTTAAAAAAGAAAAAGAAATACATTAAAAATAAGAGAAAAATACGTTCTTAAGAATTAAATGAACTTAAAAAAATGTCTGCCTTTTTAAAACAATAANAAAAAAAAACACCCCAAAAGTAAAAGAATATTCAATGGAAATAAGAAGAAAAAATTAATTAAATTAAAAGAAAGAAAAAATAAAATAGCTTCCAAAAAACTAAATTATAAAAAAAAAACGTTTCTGGTTTGATCCCTGCTGAAGTCTAGAGTCTGAAATCTGATGAGGAGATATCGGGATATTCGAAATACCAGCTATAACTTCTACCGCCTTAGACCTTGCTGCCTTTTTAATTTTTCCTAAAAACAATCGTGGTATAACCTAAATAGCTTTGTAGAGAAAAATAAATTAAAAGAGGATCAAAAACACAAAATAAGTTTCTAAAAATTAAATCAAATTAAAAAAAAAGTAATTCTTTTTAAAGGATAAAATCGAAAAATCAAACGAAAATTTTATTAAAAACAGAAAAAAATTTAATAATAAAGAAAGGAAAAAAATGTCCGCTGCGCGAGGATACGAAGCTCGGATCTCTCGCATGACACGCCAGTGATTTGTTCACTCGACCATTCCGGTCGAAACCGCAAGCGGTAATACCACCAAAAGATAGAGCATCCCTGATTTAATAGGTTATATTATTGTGTTTCTTCAATAAAAAATATCTACTGCCATTTTAGAGGGGGTGGACGGGTGGTCTAGGACACCCTGACCGTTAAAGTTCGATAAAAAAAAACGACGTGACCCATGAAAAATGAAGATATGCCCGTAATTAGGAGGTCAAAACCCGCCAGATACACTTTTCAAGCCTCTTGGCTTAAATGGTTCAAAATTATCGTACAGTGTTATTAGGCTGAAATTTGTTACTGAGAATTCGCAATTCATAAATTTCCTTATAAGCACTCAAAATCACAGGTGGCTATACAAAATCGCAAATACTAAAAAACCTAAAATTCTGTGTTAAAGATGTATGTCAGATTAAAAAAAAAATAAACTACATTCGCATACACACTAAAAATAACGTTTTTCACATTTTGAAAAATTCATGAAGTCTATTACTGAATGCATTCGAGTGTGCACATTTTCGTGCAAATTAAAAAAGAAATGAATTAATGCTACATACATACATAGATAGTATGTATATGCAACTTGAAATCATATTTGGAAATACATTTGTATCTATGTACATTAGGGTGGTCCTTAAAGAAATCAAATTAACAATTTTTTTCAATCACACCCCCTCAATCGGTAATACCATGTGGTCAAAGATATCACATATAAATTTTGGTCTCGATTGAGCCGGTTAAAGCATGTCGCATAGGGGTTACAGCTCCCTGTGCAACACGCCTTAACCGACTACAAGCGGAACAAAAATTTATATGTGATATCTTCGACTATAGTAGTACCGATTTTAGGAATTGCATAGATAAAACATTTTTGATATTTTGAGTCTCCATAGAGGAATTTGAACCTTGAACCCTTTCCGACATGGCTTAACTGGTTCCGATCGGGACTAAAATTTATATGTGGTAACTTCGAGTAGAGTAGCATCGACGCAGGGGCTTAGGTTTAGGAAATCTGTTGTAAACATGTGCCTCATACATTTAAGGACCACCCTAATTTACATACAAACATATATGCATGTAAATTGTATGAATGCACAATTAAAATGCAAGCAAACCAAAAGGTCCTACAACCTTAGCAACGTTAAAAGGTAAAATAGTACAGGGAATCCTTAAAATGCAGACCATCAGCCTTTATCTGTATGTAATTTAATATTGTTGAGAATGTGCAGAAACAAATACGCGTATTGTGGATAGGCATATTTTGGGGACTTGTTGTACATATGTATGTACATAGATACATATGTGTTAGATATGCACATGTGTACGCGAATATATGTACATACATACATATGCGCATGAAAATATATTTAGTTATGTTTTATTTTGGATAACTGCCGTTGAGTAAAGTGAGGCGAGATGAGCTGAGGTGAGCAAATATGTATGTGTGTATGTAGCTTTGAGTGGCAGGTATAGTTGAGCAAAACCTACGATACCACCAACGGTGGTGCACGCTATGAAGGGTGGTAAACGTAGTAGGCACAGAACTGGGCGCATAATTTCCAGCTTTGGCGTGTGTATGTGAATGTACATATACATACTATGTATACTTACGAATGTTTAAGACCGTTGGAAATCACCCAAAGCCGTAAATGAATCTCGGCAGCGAGTGGCTTATTTCTAAGGGCTATAAAGTACATACAGCTGTGCGCGCACAAATAGCAAACATTTGAAGGGCAATTCTGGCAACTGCCTTTCAACTCACCACAATCTTACGAAAGACAACAAACTTTCGTAGGACAATTGTCAATTCTGCCAACTATTTATCTTGAAAGCTCTTTACGGTCTTTCGATGGACTAATTGAAAGATCTGCTAACGGTCTTTGAGTTTTTTCTGTTTGTCTTTTAGCAATAAGTTTTTCCTTTTGAAACAATAAAATATAAAAACTGAAAGAAACTTTAACTAAAAAAAAGACATCAATTCAAAACAAGAAAAAAATTAAAATATAATTTTCTAAAAATGAAATGAAATGAAAGAAATATATTTTTTTCACAGAAAAATCTTTAAAAATTAAAATAGATACAAAAAGAAATTAAAAATATAATAAAAAATTCCCAAAAATTAGTGAAATAAAAAAAATTCTTTTTATTTCATTCAAATATTAAGAGAAGATTATTAAATAAAAAAATTTAATTAATGAAAAGGAAAAGATTAGTTCCTAAAAATTAAAATAATTAAACAAAAATATTTTTTCTCTTTGAAACATCCAAAAATTAAAACAACATTAGAATAAAAAAAGAAAAGTTTAATAAAAAGAGAAAAAAATAAATGAATTAAAAAAAAAAACATTTTACTTTTGTAAACAAAATCTAAAAATTAAATTCAAAAAGAAGATAACGAAAATATAAAATTTTATAAGCTTTTAAAAATTATAGGAAATAATACATGAAAATGAAAGCAATTGAATTAAATAAAATTGATTAAAAAAAGAAAAAAAAATATTAAAATCCCTGAGAAGAAATTTTAATATTATTTTTGTCTAAGTACATACGGCGGTCACTAAAAACGCCTTAGATTACCTAAGAAAGAAAACAAATTTGTCGGTAAAAATGGTCCTTCATCATGTTCTATACATTTTTGCATACGCTCAAACCAATTGGTAAAGCATTTTTTACGCATTGCGGTCAGTGTTTGGGCCTCATGCATAAAAAGTGAGCTTAAGCTCCGACTCGTTTTTCAGTACAAATTCTTGAGCTTGAGCTCACCCTTTCAGTGCAAAAATTGAGTCTGAGCTTAAGCTCACTTTTTATGCATAAGGCCCTTTATTTTCGATGTCCGCGATGGTAATTATCCCTGATGTTTCCGGAACAAAAAAAAAAACGGTACGTGCAATAATGTCAATGGAATTAATGTCACTGACATTAATACCCAGGCCAAAAGTGAAATAATGTCAGAAGAATTGTGGAAATAATGTCATTGAAATTAATATACAATTGAAAAGTCATTTAATGTCAGAAATGTTGAAAACAATTATTATTTTACATAAAAATATTGACAAAATACATTTCTATCATACTAAGTACATAACAACATGAACATAGTATACAACTTTAAAAGTGCATAACACCACGGCGGTCCCGCGTCGCGTCGTTCGCGCACCCTCGTAAGTGTGTTTTTCACTTTACTTTTTCAGGAAGAAAATAGATAGAGCCTGTAGAAACCGTTTAGGAAAATCCGTAGTTACTGGTGCGCCATAGTTCTCGTTAAACCAGCGCAACTAGATAGTAAATTTAACCATTTTATTATTTTATTAAAGTTGAAATTTAACAAAAATTATATCTAAAGTTTTGAGTACGCGAAATTCATATCTCCAGGTGATCTCAAATTTGAGGCGCCAGAACCGTAAACTATAATCTTTGCGCAACGCCAGAGTCAACATGTGCGACAAGGGCTACTAGTTGTGTTTGAAGTTTGGCACAGCGAAAACAGCTGTCGTTAATCGGGAGGGTTCGAAGGCTGTTTTTAATCAGTGTTGGCACTAATCGATTGATTTTTTAATCAATTAGTTAATTCGATTAAATTCAAACCGATTACAGTTAATCATGATTAATTTAAAATAATTAAACAAAAATATTTTTTCTCTTTGAAACATCCAAAAATTAAAACAACATTAGAATAAAAAAAAGAAAAGTT